AAATAATGTAGATGTTAATGAAACGTTAACCAGCATCGTACGGTGTAAAAAGGGCGCTGAAAAAGCTGCTCGCCTATTTCGTTCCGCCGCGTAGCGCAATCGCCAAACGGAAAAGACTTTCCGTTCAGCCTCGTGTTTTTCGATCGCGAATTCTAAATGGCGGCCGTGGGAGCAGGGGCGTTCCGGGATGAAAAATTTCAGAAACTAGGCAAACAGAGCAGGGACAGAGAAAGAGAGAGAGACACACACACACATATACACGGCCGTGGACTTTCCCGGAGAAAGCAAACCGACAGAAAGATGAGCAGGAATTAAGTTATCGCACACGCGAAAGGATTGCCAGTTGAGTTGCCTCGACCGTGAAGTAGGGGTAATAACCGAGTGACCACCTAGCACGGTCAGTGTCTCACTGTTCCAGGCGGATGTTTTCACGGCGATCAGTACTTCCGGGTGAGCTAGGGTACACCTCTTCTACTCCGCGTTCAGCTCCTCGCCCCCCGCCCCGCCTCCCGCCCCTCCTCTCCGGCACGCTCGAGCTCCTCATTTTTCGCGACCTGGGAATCTCGTTCCCCGTGATCGTTTCACGAGCCTACTCGAAAACACCTATTCTCCATTCTATTCACAGTTATCCAAGTCGGTTTCAACTTTCTTCGACGCTGAATCTGCTCGACGATAGACGCGGACGATGCGCGTCGCGTTAGAGGCACGACGAGATCGAATTTATTTAGGTTCTTTTGCGTTAGCTTCGTCGACAACAGACCGCGGATATTTTGAAACGAAATGAAAGTTGTCCGAGTTCGTTTTATGAAACTTTGGTAGACGAATTGTAACTTTACTGATTTAATCGGTTTGGATAAGTTAGATTTAATATAGAAATAGTCTCGAACTCTTTTTTCGTATCTTTATTGTCTTCTATTCGATTTAGTCATTTTTGTCAGAAATAGAATTTGAACACATTTTTGAGTCTTATTTTGTCGTGATATCTCTCGGGTCGCTTTTGATCCGGTGATATTTTTCAGTATTTTTTTAACTCGTCTATATTTTCGGGTCGCTTTTGATCCGACGATATTTTTCAGTATTTTTTTAACTCGTCTATATTTTCTGGGTCGCTTTTGATCCGACGATATTTTTCAGTACTTTTTTAACTCGTCTATATTTTCTGGGTCGCTTTTGATCCGACGATATTTTTCAGTACTTTTTTAACTCGTCTATATTTTCTGGGTCGCTTTTGATCCGACGATATTTTTCAGTATCTTTTAATCCTTATATTTTCCGGGTCGCTTTTGACCCGATGATATTTTTCAGTATCTTTTAATCCCTATATATTTTCCGGGTCGCTTTTGACCCGACGATATTTTTCAGCATCTTTTAACCCGTCTATATCTTCCGGGTCACTTTTAACCCGACGATATTATTTTTCAATATTTTTTTAACTGTATTTCCGGGTCGCTTTTGACCCGACGATGTTCTTCAGTATCTTCTAACCCGTCCATATTTTTTCGGGTCGCTTTTGACCCGACGATATTTTTCTGTATTTCTTCATCCGTTCACGTTTTCGGATTTTTGCTGACCCACCTATATTTTCGGACGTTGTTTAACCCACCCAAATATTCGGATCTTGTCTTTTTTGACTTGTATACATTTTCGGGTCATCTGTGACCTATTTATATTTTCATGTCTTGAACCGTTCAATCTTTTCGGCTCTTATTTGACCCGTACATTTTCCAGATTCGGTTCGACCCATCCATATTTTTCTGTCTCGTTTGGCCCGATCGATTTTTACGGGTCTCGTCTGACCCGTCCAATTCTTGCGGATCTTATATGACCCGTATACACTCTCAAATTTCATCTTACCTATCCATATTCTTGTGCCCTGTTCGACCAGTCAAATTTTTAGGAATTTTGTTCGACCCTCCGCGTCTCCGTTCTAACCCATCGCTACTTCCAATTTTCTCACCCCATTTCCTTCCCCTATTTCTCCAATTTCACTGCTTCTTCGCACAAAATACAAGCGGACTATGCACCTAGCGTACAAAAATTCTATCCCCATATTCATCGATCGTCTTCGAAGACAAGATCCTAGATTTTTGTTGCACCCTTGATCGCGCACCCCTTCGAATCCAGTGCAAAACAGCGTTGCATTTCGATGCAACGATTTCGACGCAAAATGTCCGCGAATATCCGTGCGTCGAAGAAGTCCAAGAAGAGCATCCTCGGGAGTTTCGCGCCGGGCAGTGGTCGTGGAGGCTTCCATCCGCGGCGAGTTCGATTCCGCTTCGCTGCGAGAAGGCGCGTGCAGCCGCGCGGCGTACTTTCACCGACCGTGACTTCCACACCGCGCGGCTGCGGCTGCGGCGGCGCGGCGCGGCGCGGCGTTCCATTCGACGAGTTTCACAGATAAAGAGGGTAATAGAGGCGATGTCGCCACGTAGGTTACTGGAACCCGTTTCCTCGCGGCCGAACCGAGTCACCGGGTGTTACGCGCGCACACGCCGCGCAGCGCAGAGCAGCGCCGCGCCGCGGCGTAACGCGTCTCGTAATCACCGGAAACCTCGCGAGGAACTCGCCCGGACAAATTGCGCGCCGCGACACACTCCACTGCGCTCGCGATGGATGCTCTCTGCCCTTCGTTTCTTCCCAACGTCGATTTAACCGTGCAAAGCAATCTGTTAGATACGAGCTGAATCTTAAGTTCCACAGAATCATGCCATTGGCTGGATATGATCGAGGTCTGGAGAAAAAGAAAGTCTCGGTTCTGATAGAGGTCTCATCTCCAGCCCAATGAAGTCGATACGTTCCGATTTCTTATGCCTTGCGATGCAAGGCTTACATTTTGCCTGACGCATCATGCTGACCTTGAGATTTCTAACCTGCTGCTTCCGACGAGTATACTCGTCGTAACGGAAAATGGTGGCATTTCTTCGTGACGAGTATACTCGTCAAAAACGAAGGATATACATATGCTTCGATATTTTTTATCAACATAAAAAATCTGCCGTCCCCAGATCCTAGATATAATTCTTTTATTTGACGCCGGCATAATAGCTTGGAAATTTTAGATTTTCAAAAAATTTTCGAAGATGGCGGTAATATAAATTCCTAAAGTTAAGATATGTCATTCAAGAATTTTCGTACTTAATTCTTAGTTAAATAAGCACAATGCTATAGTTAGTTTGCTGCCTTTTAACACCCAAGAAATATAGTTCAAATGTTATTTCAGCGTTTTTAAAATGGCACCAAAGTGGTGCCACCGGCATACAACAGATAGTTTTTGCATGGCACCAGCGTGGTGACACCGGACGGCATAATGTTAACACGTTGAATGCCGCGCCGGTTTTACAGAAATTGTCCGTGGCGCCACGATGAATTTTCTTTTATGTGATACATGTAATGTTGAAATATTATCTGTAATAGATAAGTTACAGTATATAACCATGTTTGACATGTTAAAATTGTGACAGGGGTCACTGTTTGAATTTGACGATGGTAATAATACAAAATTTTAGATATTGACATTTGTTTTAAATTATAATATTTCTATCGATTTGGGCGTGCCGGTCACCGGTGGCCCCCATGGCGTCACCGCCAAGTTAAGTGCCGGTCACCGGTGCCCCCCGTGGCATTCAACGTGTTAAATTATATATTTTATTAAAGTGTTGTATTTATATAAAATATGAAGAAAACCAAATATATACATTGTGATTACAATCATCCATACACTTCTCAAAGGGATTGCAATATTCAACTGGTTAAGAAGGATATATACTTTGATACTCTTGATTAAATTATATATTTTATGAAAGTGTTGTATTTGAACAGAAAATATGAAAAAAGTCAACTGGGTTAAGAAGGACACATATATACTCTGATATTCTTTATTCAATTATATATTTTATGAACGTGTTGTATTTAAACAAAAGATATGAAGAAAATCAAACATACACAAACATTACAATCACTCGTACACTTCTCAAAGAGATTGCAACAGCTAACTCGTTAAAATAAAATCGTTAAAGGAAAAAATAATGTGATGACTAGTCCGCGAATTTTATGCATTGGTGGCAAAAGGTGAATAGGTCGAACTGTGAAGACGTTAAAAAGAAATTCAACGATATTACATCATTTTCAACGTATTGCAATCATTAAAAGAGGAAAGACGTTGTCATCCAACCTACACTTGTACCTAAGTAACTTAGACTAATTTTATTTGCATAATGATTCGCAAGTCTAACGACGATCTCCAATCGACCTTGAAAAGGCTAAACGAGACCAAATAAAGGTAATCGTATCGTAGACCAGCATAACGAATTCTACCTGATAAACTTTCTTATAAAATCAGTGGACAACGAGTTATTTTACGTAGTAATATTACTACCCTATATACATATATAGCGTGTCCATTTTATCCCGAGTACTCGTAATATCTCTCTCATACCGGATGCTGGGAAAAAATACGTAGATGAAAAATTGCACGATTTCATGGGACGAACATAAAGGTAGAACACCTCTCTTCAAGGTCATCGTCGATTTTTTATAAACGTAATAGCATACATATTTTAATTAATGCAATATTGTAGTTCGCAAAAAAAGGAAAAAACGAATTCGACGGTGTATATCGCGACGTTCGGTTGACCTTCAACACGATAAATCACGTTTACAAAACTCGCCGATGACCTCGAAAAGAAGTGTCGTCCCCCCTTTATATTCGTGTCATTATATAAGTGTCGTTCCATGAAATCGCGTAATTTCTCGCCCGCGCATTTGCTTCTTCTAATTATCAGGCAATGGCAGAGCTGTTACGCGTGCTGCGGGATAAAACGAGCACCCTGTAGTAAATGTATGCCCTGCGCGTCGACCAATTAGCCATCTGCCGGCGAGCGTGGGAGTCGAATGCCGGGCCCCGAACGAATGCGAGGCGAACGCGGAGATAAATGTTTGGTGCGGACCGCGTGCGCGGGTGCTCCAGATTTTCTAACACGGCCCTGAACTTCTGTTTACAGCCAGGGACGAACTGTCGCAGCCTGGATCCTTGAACGGCTACGGGAGCAGCGGCGGCGGAAGCGGGGGTGGCAGCGGAGGCGGCGGCGGCGGCGACGGCTGCGACGCCAGGAAGAAGAAGGGCCCGACGCCGCGGCAGCAGGAGGAGCTCTGCCTGGTGTGCGGGGACCGTGCCTCCGGCTATCACTACAACGCGCTCACCTGCGAGGGCTGCAAGGGCTTCTTCCGGCGCAGCATCACCAAGAATGCGGTCTACCAGTGTAAATACGGAAACAATTGCGAGATCGACATGTACATGCGGCGCAAGTGCCAGGAATGCAGGCTGAAGAAGTGTCTGACCGTGGGCATGAGGCCCGAGTGCGTTGTGCCGGAGTACCAGTGCGCCGTCAAGCGCAAGGAGAAGAAGGCGCAGAAGGTACGTTCGCGGACACGTGTCGTCCTCATTTACACCTCAGACATTGGCGAGACGAGGGAACAAATAACGTTAGCTACCTGCGCTGTCTTTCAACCCCTGGAAAACGGTTGTGTTCTTCCGATTTCAAAATGTACAGGCTGTTCCGTAATTATGCTAATAGGTCGCCTGAGGTCATTTGAAGCAACTTTTTCCTCGGCGAAAATGCAATCCGCGGCTTCGTTTACGAGTTATTAACGAAAAACACTGGCCAATGAGAGGCGAGCTCGCGTAGCGCCAGGCGGCCGAGCCAATCGGCGGAACTGGGCGTCGTCCGCTCGATGCAGCCGAGCTCGTCTCTCATTGGTCAGTGTTTTTTGTTGATAACTCGTTAACGATGCATCGGAGAACATTTTTGCATGGGAAAAAGTTGCTTCGAATGACCTCAGGAATCTCTAATTTCCTGGAAGTACCATAATTTTGGGACACCCTGTATGTATCCTTGATATCAAGCGGCGTCTAGACCCAAGTTGCACAGAAATTTTATTGCGTTTTAAACTAAACAGGATTGGTATATTTTTCATTAACAAAGAAATCACATAATATAAAAACATACAAAAATAATAATTCAACTTAATTTGTTGTTATAGGGTGAGACTCAAATAGNGTCGAATGCCGGGCCCCGAACGAATGCGAGGCGAACGCGGAGATAAATGTTTGGTGCGGACCGCGTGCGCGGGTGCTCCAGATTTTCTAACACGGCCCTGAACTTCTGTTTACAGCCAGGGACGAACTGTCGCAGCCTGGATCCTTGAACGGCTACGGGAGCAGCGGCGGCGGAAGCGGGGGTGGCAGCGGAGGCGGCGGCGGCGGCGACGGCTGCGACGCCAGGAAGAAGAAGGGCCCGACGCCGCGGCAGCAGGAGGAGCTCTGCCTGGTGTGCGGGGACCGTGCCTCCGGCTATCACTACAACGCGCTCACCTGCGAGGGCTGCAAGGGCTTCTTCCGGCGCAGCATCACCAAGAATGCGGTCTACCAGTGTAAATACGGAAACAATTGCGAGATCGACATGTACATGCGGCGCAAGTGCCAGGAATGCAGGCTGAAGAAGTGTCTGACCGTGGGCATGAGGCCCGAGTGCGTTGTGCCGGAGTACCAGTGCGCCGTCAAGCGCAAGGAGAAGAAGGCGCAGAAGGTACGTTCGCGGACACGTGTCGTCCTCATTTACACCTCAGACATTGGCGAGACGAGGGAACAAATAACGTTAGCTACCTGCGCTGTCTTTCAACCCCTGGAAAACGGTTGTGTTCTTCCGATTTCAAAATGTACAGGCTGTTCCGTAATTATGCTAATAGGTCGCCTGAGGTCATTTGAAGCAACTTTTTCCTCGGCGAAAATGCAATCCGCGGCTTCGTTTACGAGTTATTAACGAAAAACACTGGCCAATGAGAGGCGAGCTCGCGTAGCGCCAGGCGGCCGAGCCAATCGGCGGAACTGGGCGTCGTCCGCTCGATGCAGCCGAGCTCGTCTCTCATTGGTCAGTGTTTTTTGTTGATAACTCGTTAACGATGCATCGGAGAACATTTTTGCATGGGAAAAAGTTGCTTCGAATGACCTCAGGAATCTCTAATTTCCTGGAAGTACCATAATTTTGGGACACCCTGTATGTATCCTTGATATCAAGCGGCGTCTAGACCCAAGTTGCACAGAAATTTTATTGCGTTTTAAACTAAACAGGATTGGTATATTTTTCATTAACAAAGAAATCACATAATATAAAAACATACAAAAATAATAATTCAACTTAATTTGTTGTTATAGGGTGAGACTCAAATAGTCCCACCGTGCCACATGGGTTCATGAATGCGCATATTGATGATATTGCAATATTTCATGGCGGGTTTAAAAATGTCCCCCCACCATCAAAAAGATGGTACACTTTAAATCCCACCGTGCCCCAAAGGGTTGAGACAGCAAAGTGCGCGAGGAATTGGAACGTTCGGCTAGACAGAATGTGTGTTTTCTATCCTCAGATGGTTCATTTCCCGTTGCAGGAGAAGGACAAACCGAACAGTACAACGATGAACGGTTCGCCGAGCAGCGGAACACGCATCGACCAAATGGGTGTGAAGATCGAGCCGGCGGAAGCCGAGTCCTTGTCGACGTCCGGCAGCAGTCGCATTCTGTTGCCGGTCAGCTCCTTCAGCTACGTGCAGCCAATCAGCCCCGAACAGGAGGAGCTGATACACAGGCTCGTCTATTTTCAGAACGAGTACGAGCAACCCACTGAAGATGATCTGAGAAGGATCACAGTAAGTGTCGGGACCGTCGTGGTCGCGCAACCGTCCCAGAAAGCCCGCTCCCTCTGTTCGTCTTTCGCTTAATCGCCGTTTCGTTGTTCCCGCAGAACCACCCGTCGGAGGGGGAGGATATCAGTGATTACAAGTTCAGGCATCTTACGGAGATCACGATCCTGACCGTGCAGCTAATCGTCGAGTTCTCGAAGAGGTTACCCGGCTTCGACGAGCTGCTACGAGAGGACCAGATCGCCCTGCTGAAGGCCTGCTCCAGCGAGGTCATGATGCTCCGCATGGCGAGGAAGTACGACGTGCAAACGGACAGCATAATATTCGCGAACAACCAGCCGTACACGAGGGACAGCTACAACGTGGCTGGCATGGGCGACACGATCGAGGACCTGTTGCACTTCTGCCGGCAGATGTACGCCATGAAAGTGAACAACGCGGAGTACGCGTTGCTGACGGCCATCGTCATATTCTCAGGTGGGCCGGCGACCTATCCTCTAAACGATAACGGTGTTCCTGTCTTGCGAACGATGCGACTGCTTCGAACCTCTGAACCGTAAAGTTATTCCTAATCTCTAATCGGTGACGCTACTTACGATTTAACCTGGAAGACTATTCCTGACGATCAGGCTACAGTAGAACTTCATTTATGCGAACTCTGCTGGAGACAATCAGTTCATATAAACGGTTAGGTTCATATAATAGGAGTCCGTTGATTGATTATACCCATTGCTTGAAAATTTTCAAACAAAAAACCGGAATTTCTAATAAGATTAAATGGATTTAACTAAACAAACAAAGGAAAACGTGCTGAGTTTACATTTATTTATATTTGTAATACTTAATCGTTCACATAATTGGAGGAACGCTCGACAGAGTAGTTCAGGTAATAATTGTTCAGCAGAAGTTGACTGAGTCGGGCAGTGTCCAAATTTTCGTTCTACTTCTAACTTTTGAACTATGGGGATACTCCCATCCTCTAAGCAATAAAAATAAATTCCTAACCATAAAACTGCTTGCAGCCTGCATCTTTTAACCGGTGAGGCTACTCCTAGTATCTTAACAATAATCTTAATCTCACCCTAACATTTTAATAATAACCTTAACAATAAAGATTAACAATAACGACTAGCCTTAACTTCTTAACAATAAAGTCTGTCCCCAACCTCTTAATAATAAAGATTAGTCCCTAAGCTCTTTAACAATAAAGACTATCTCGAACCTCTTAATAATAAAGTCTAATCCTAATCCCTGAAAGATAAGTCAATTCCCAACGTCTTGGCAATAAGACAACTCGGAAGCAAAATGAACGAAGCATATAATTCGCCGCGTTGGTCATGTTACAGAGAGACCGAACCTCCTCGAGGGCTGGAAAGTGGAGAAGATCCAGGAGATCTACCTGGAGGCGTTGAAGGCGTACGTGGACAACCGTCGCAGGCCGAAGTCGGGCACGATCTTCGCGAAGCTGTTGTCGGTGCTGACAGAGCTGCGGACCCTCGGCAACCAGAACAGCGAGATGTGCTTCAGTCTGAAGTTTAAGAACAAGAAGCTGCCAGTTTTCCTCGCCGAGATCTGGGACGTGACACCCTAGTTCCCCCGTAGCCGGTCACCGGCGCCCGCGCCGATCGGCTAAAACACAGTGTTTTTCAAACAGTCCGCACGACGTCGAACGACTACGACGACGACGACGACGACGACGACGCTGGAGCGCAGCGAGGAAGAAGAAGAAGGAAGACGGAGACGAAGAGGAGGAGGAGGAGAAGAAGGAAGAAGAAGAAATAAGAAGAAGATGAACACAACCACACACGGATATAACACACACTTGTACTAGTGCACCAGCATGCCACTGCCTCAGCGTCGCGAGTCGACCTGCGCTCTGTGGTCCGGGATGAAGATAGTCGGATAATGACGACGATGATTCGGATGATGACGATGGTGATTCGGTTGATGACGATGGTGATTCGGACGAAGGAGACGAGTAAGACGATGTAAGCCGAGTCTCTCTTGGCGAAGGGGGAAGCCCCGTGTGGCGCCTGGACGAGCCCCATAGACAGCCGGAGACCCAGGGCGGAGGGGGAACACGAGCTCCGAGAGGATCACGGGACGAGAAAACAAGGATATAAAGGGAAAAGGCAGTGGCGAGGCACCCAGGCTGTGATACGTAGAGACAGTACAGAGACTGTAATAAGGAGCTACCTACAGTTATGTTATTACTATATCCTCTACCTGGCTACTCCCGGAATCGATATGTAAATGTCTAATGTATAATGTATAAGGTACGGTTAAGGCAGGCGTGTTGTACGACGATGGTTACAGCAACTACGAATCTAAGGACACAGGGAAACAGATAGAGAGAGAAAGAGAGAAAGCGAGAGAGAAAGAGAGTAGGAGCGAAAGAGTATGAGTGTGGTACCGTATGCGTGCAATTAGGTCGCGAGAAGCGGGAGAGGGTGGAGGGAGAGACGATAGGGAGGAAGATCGCACTGTAGCCGTGCCGAGGAGGGGATAGGACAGGGCCGGCTGTTGAGCAGCGGGCGCCCGTTGGATTCTCGCGAGAGGCGTAACAGACAAAAAGAAGAAGATGATAACAAAACGATACGATTATACATAATGGATACCATAGAGTCTATATCACACACATAGCATAATAATATATTGCTAGCATGTACATTGTTTATACGAGCAGGGGAAACGGATGGCTAGAGAGAGAAAGAGAGAGCGAGAGCGAGTGAAAGGGAGAGAGAGAGAGAAGTTTGCTAGAACGATTAGTAGTTGAGATGCGATTAGATCGAAGGCAGCGACTACACAGAGTTTCCCGGAGACGAGGCTTTGGCATTTGCGCGCGTCCGGAATTTCCTTCTTTTTCGCGAATCGGCTGAACGTGTGGTGGTGTGGCATACGTGGCAGTTTGTGAAACTGTGTGCGAGAGAGAGAGAGAAAGAAAGAGAGTAAGATGAAAAAAGAAAGAAAGAAAGAGAGAGAGAGAGAGAGAATAACGTAGAACCGTAGGAAGTAAGTAAAAACGTAAGTAAGCGAGGCTAGTTTGGTAGTAGGTTCGTAGTAAGTCAGCGAAGCTAGGCTAGGTGACCGAGTTCAAGTGCAAAGCCTTGTGCCTTCAGCAGCGGACATCGGCTCACCGACAAAACGAAACCATGAAATTTAACCGTCCGTTTTAATTTTTTAATAAAAAGATAACAAAAAAATGTGCAGAGGAAAATACGAAATCAACAGAGTCGAGTTTAAATATCGTTAATCTGCGCGCGGGAAGCGAGAGAGAGAAAGAGAAAGAAAGAGAGCGAGAACGAGAGAAAGAGAAAGAACGAGAGAAAGAGAAAGAAAGAAAGAAAGATAGCGAGAAAGCGTGTGCGAGAAAGAGAGAATGAATCGTTTAGAGGACGAGAAGGTAGCAGGAAGATCTTAGTACGGAGAAACGCGGAACAGGGTTGGGGGATTCGTCGGTGGATTCCAGGATCGGAAACCCGGTGGCGTATAAAAAATATAGTCTGGAGAGGCTGAGAGTGGTCGAGATCATCAGACGTGGGCGTAGGTTCTGCTCCTTGAGACAGGCTTCAGTGGAAAAGACAACAAAACTGAGAACGACAAAAACGTTACACACGACAGCGACACACCACGTTTACACGACGCGATCGCGCGCGCGCGCGCGCGCATCTACCGAAGCGGACGACCGACCGGCTTTTGGCGAGAGAGACGGCGGAACCCGCGCGAACACCGTCGAACATGTACAAAAACACCGCGCGAAACATAGTCTAAAGAACACGCATCCGCCACCACAGTTACATGTACACTAAGATTCTCGATGTTGTAACACTGTAACTCTATGCTATTAACTGATCGTACGCAGTTGTATTCCGTAGTAGAGATACCAATCGCAAACGTTCGATACGCGCGAATCCGAAACGGATGATTGGACACAGAACCGGAGGGGGGTGGGGGTTGCGCACGGCGCTGGGGCCGATTTATTTTGCTATAAAATGCGATTCACACGCGGAGCGGAATGACAGCGACAGAGTTCCACACGTATAGTAGAACGGCGGGGAGGGGGGAGTAAAAAACGGCTAGATTCGCCTAAGGCGACCAGGCGCATTTACTATTGCAAATCTATCCGTAGAGGCGTCGAACTAGGCACGCTAGTCGCGGCACGAAAAAAAAAGAAAAACAAAAACAAAGTGTAAGCCGCGTTTCAATTCCCGAGAGGAGCAGCGTCATCCTCGCGTTCAAGACCGGACACACGGGTCTCTGCGAAAGATCAACGGGGAGACAAAAAAATACAATCATCGTCAAGCACCTAAGATGCCTCGGGAACGGCCTGGCTCCGGCGATTACGAAACGGAGAACGATTAACAGGCCCCGTGTACACTAGGTAAAACGCCGCAAGGCGGACACTGCCAGACCGCAGAGTGTGCACCAAACACCGTGGACAAACAGCTGAATCGAAAGAGGATCAGGAGAGAAATAGAGAGAGAGAGAAAGAGAGAGGAACCGTCACCGCCATCTACCATCGACACGTTTTTACGTAGACACTCTTGGAAGCGCGGACGTTGTCTCGAGTCGTCGCTGAGGAGTCCCGACCGTTGCGCCACCAGGGAGCTAACATCTGGGGGTCCGAGAGCTAGCGAGACGAAGCTTCGAACTCGGAAACGGATGCAGCGATTCGCCCCAAACTTTGGATACGGCTTCTTGATCACCTGGAGCCTTGATAGCCCTCGCTATATGTCCTCCGGAGCACGAGGCGAGAAATCGAACGAAGATCGGCGGCTCCCAGAGATTGCAGACCGAAGAATCGACTTGGTCTAGAGAGAGAGCGAACGAACCTGGAGGATCCAGCGGGGAGATTACCCGGGCTCGTCGGCGCGACGAGACAGGGAGGACCGTACGGGGACACCGAAACACTTGCACGCACCTGTACTCCGCATTGTTATACCACACACTCGCGCATCCACCATACTGAGTGCTTTCATGCATCGCCGTTTTTTGCGAAAGAACGCGTGTTTGTGTGCGAGAGAAAGAGAGAGAGAGAGAGAGAGCGAGTGAGAGAGAGAGAGAGTGATAGAGAAAGAGAGAATGAAAAGTGAATGTTGCATAGAAGATGGAGTTTCTTAAAGACACAGCACATCGCGACGATATCGCCTATTATTATACGTCTCTAAAGTAGCCGTGCCTCGTCGACCTGCGACGAACAGGCATCGGTCGCCGGTCGACGACCACCGAAGGGTCGCGTTCGTTTCGACAACTATAATTCTTAACGATTAAACGTTTAAGCGTGCGAGAACCACACCGCTCTCGCAAAGTCGTCTGCTCTCGAGACTTCCTTTTCGACTCGCCCCCCACGTGTAAAATCATTGTCTAGGACACGTAATAATAACCGCGGCGCAGTTGTTCTTGTCGGCGGCCCGGCGCGCACCCGACCGCGTTGTTTCGTACAGATCCGCCCCCCTCGCCGGCGCCCGAACAGGCCAGAGTAGTCTCTCTGTCCGCATTTGCAAGAAATTTTAACCGAACTCACCTAGAGAATCCACGTGGGCTGAAAACATCAGCCCCACCCGCCCAATTAAGGGCGCTAGGTAAAATCCTCTAGCCTGTTCGGGGGCGGAGGGGGTGGTCGCCGATCGAGGGCGCCGGATCTACATTACGATCGTGCAATAAACGCTTTCCGGGGGAAAATGGGGGACGTGGGTCGGCGCGCCGGGGCCGGCGACAGGGCGAAACGCGAGTACTATTAAACGCCCCCACCCCTCCCGGAGGGAAGAAAGACGCCGCTTCGCCTCTCTGTATCGCGTCACGGACCGTCGACGGCAGGTCGTCAGCGTCGCACCTCTCGCGTTTCTTCTCTTTCAGACTCTAAGGCTCGGGGAGGGTTGACCGGGCCCCTCGAACAGCCGCGTTTCTGGCCTCCCCCGTCGCGGCCTGGGATTCCCGCGCGACGGCGGACGGTCTCTATCGAGATATCGCCAGCGGCGCGAGACCGCGGGGAGGGAAGGGGACGACGCGCTCGGGAATCAAGGTGAACCGCATCCTTCAAATCGGAAACCGGTCATACTCGGGCAAGAGCGTGATAGCGAGAGTGACAAGGAGCGCAAGAGAGAGCGATTCTGGTGACGGGACGGTATACCGAGGGTGGGGGGATGCTGTCGAGAGACCCACACGCATGCACACGTGCATACGTACAGCGAGACACACGGACACGAGGCACTCGGAGGACAGAGACACTGTTGCCAGATGACAAGCACACGAGAAATAAAACAAGGATAACATGCAATTCTACGATCACTGCCAAGGGCGTTAACCGTCGACGTCGATCTTCTCATTGTCTAAATGTCGTTAGTCGTTTTTTTCCCTCGTGGCTCGAGCGAGAAGCGATTTTAATATATGCATCTGTATATATATATGTATATATATATATCTATGTATATGTATGTGTGTATGTACATATATGTATGTATATATCTATGTATATGTATATTACATAGTTGACAAAGTGGTGACACACACACGCGGAAACACATACAGACACACGCATACGCATGATGCACACACTGTTTAACCACGCGCGCGCGTTCGGAGGAGAAAATCGATTTGAAAAAGAAAGAAAGAAAGATATAACAAAAAAAGATATAATAATAATAAAAGCACGGAAAAAATATATATCTATATATATACGGTACATATATATATATATGTGTATACATATATTATTATTGTCATTATTATGATTATGATTATTATTATTATACACACACACGCGCCGCCGCCCGCTCGATTTCGTATTGCCGTTTGACGAGGACGAGCGAGCGATTTGTTCATGATACTGCCAAGCGTAGACTCTCGAGTTTCTGTGTTTTTTAAGGTGACAAAACTAATAATACTCCTTTTCTCAATACATGTGTCGGGTCACACGTACTACACAGCCATGTAAGCAAACAAACAAACAAACAAACGAACACACACGCACGCACGCACACACCGTACACAAGCAGTGGACATGTCGCGCACCGAATCCGATCCGCGTAACATACACCGTGTTACACACACACAAACGAACGCATACAGAGAAACGTACACACGCTCGCAGTTAATGTACCCACATATACGTGTGCATCGTGCTGCAATCTCTCTTCTCTGTTTGTCCCCGCCCGGGTATACCCTGATCTGTCCGTTTCTCCTAGGTATCTCTTTCGCCTATATGTACATAAGATTAGACTCGAAGATATGTATGTGTAAATAGGGGCCGAATGTTCGCGAGTCCGCCGCCTCCCGGCTTCTCGTTATTTCTTTTCTTTGGTAATCGTCGCACCGTTCGAACGGTGCCGCCAAAAGTTTCTCCTGGCTCCGTTTCTATCGGAAATTATTCCGTGAAATCGTCGGGAGACGCGCCCTGTTTACGGCCGTGAGGCTGACGCATGGTAACATTGTTGACAAGAACCCGCGTCGAATTCGGAGATGGCTTCTCGCGAATGTTTACCACCGTGTTCGGGGCCGGATCGGCCCGGTTTTAACGGCCACGGGAAAACGGGATCGTGAATATAACACCTTCGAGAACGATCGCAGGTGTCCCCTGCGGTTCGACGGCGCGCTAGCCAACTCGTGAAACTCTTTTCACCGGACACGAACACCTCGCGCGACACCCGAGGCGACGCTCCGCGCGGGAATTCCTATGGTGCCGCTGCCAGGGCCGTAGTCAGTTCGCCGAGGCGCCCGGGCTCTTTCAGTTGGAACCGTCGAGCCGTGACATTAACATTGTTCATGTTAATGATAATATTTATCTATTATTTCCGGCTCCGCTGAACCGTCTCCCTGATCTGGAATCGTCGATTTCAGATCCTAAAAAATTGTTTTTCTTCAAATCAGATTTATTGGAAAATCGTATATTGATCGCGAACTTGATCTACCCTCCCGGTGGATTCACAAAATTATTTCATCGTCAACGGGTGCGATAGGGGGCCCTCTCGGACGCTGCAGAAAGATTGTCCGCTACGCACGCTCCTGGGCCGGGCTCGGGGTCCGATTAGGGCCCCCAATTTCACGACTTAGATTTCCAGGAGCTGTCAATTAGCGGACCTCGAGTTCTCGTTGTCTGCGCGAGGTGTTCAGGTGTGTCCCGGGTCCGCTGTGAACAGAGGGAAAGAAACGGAACGGAAACACGCGCCGGACCCCGGGCGACGGTCGCCGTTGGGAGACGGCCGACGGGCAATACCGTGCGCGCGACACCCCGATATCTTGGTTGCGCGTAAAAGCGAGACGGTGAAACGATTTATTCGGCTCGCGTTCGTAATTCACCGGCGGAGAGACGGTTGAGATATACGGTATTTTCTTATTGGTGGCGACTTGTTCGACCCCGAGCGAGAGAGAAAGAACGTAAGAGAGCGAGCAAGCGAAAGAGAGAGAGAGAGAGAGAAAGAATGAACGAGTGAAAGCGAGAGAGAGAAAGGTTCTTGTTGTTAAATTGCGAGATACAAGGAGGGAGCCATTTTTAATTTATTCGAAGCTGCGGAAGAGAAAAAGGATAAACGAAAAAGCTACGAGAAAGCCCGAACGGAGGGAGCTAATCAGCTGAAGATTATTATAAATAAAGTTAAATGATTATACTTTGTTATGGTAGTTGGTATGTTATTTTTTTGTTTGTTTTTTAGGGAGGGGGGAAGGTGGGTGCGCGCGACGCGCGGATTGAACGCGGCCGTCTCGAATATTCCGTAGCGTTTTTCGCAACGGGAACCGAAATTTGTAAGGAGCCCTGACAATTTTAAACGTACATCTGGTCGGTCTGCCGCGTCCCCGACGAATCTTTTTTCTTTTATCGAATTCGAAATTTTCGATTTCCCATCGTCGCGACGCGATCGTTTCGTTCGCGATGCACCGCTGCTCTCTCGTTCGGTTCGCGTGAACGTCCCCCAGGACGTTCGAGAAAGTCCCTAGAGACCGTCCGTGAAGGAGACGGCCGGCACATCGAGCGCCAAACGAATGCGAAACACGTCGCCGTCATCGTGATCGATTCGTTCACCGAAGATAAAAGGTAAATCATTCGACTAACCGACTAATAACAAACAATAAAATAGCGTGTAACGATCGACTAATAAAATTTTCGGGGCTGCCGATACTAACAACAAAAAAAGAGCTTTTAGCCGAGGTTCTCGGACGATGCGCGCCGATCGAGAAAGATCGTCGCCCGATCTAAAGACCGAACTGTAGCGCTAGGGCGGCGGAGTGGGGAGCGGCTAGGAAAGTGGGGCGAAGCGTGACGTCATAGCGCGCGACGTTGCAGCGTCGTGCAGTAACCGCGGAAATCGTAGTTGCTCGTCAACGTAGGACCTGCCCTCGTCGGATGTGCACCCGGTCGACTTACTACTACTACTACTATTACTACTACTACTATTAACTACTATTATTACCATTATTGCTACTATTACTGCTGCTATTACTACTACTACTAATACTTAAAACTCTCACGTTTGTACTTGCAACCAACACACGGGTTACGCACGCAGATACACGGACAAGAAGAAGAACACCTGGCGAAATTGTAGGCGACACACTGTACACGGTCGTTGGTCGTTCGACGAGAGAAGTATAGTTGCGGCACACGAGTGCTCATCGACAGATCAATAGCTTTTATTCGAGGCGTTCGTGCGTAGCGAGGAACGTCCCGGAGAGATCGTTGTTCGTTTACCAGGGAATCGTCGTCGACGACTGCGGAAGAGCGTAGTCGCGACGGAACGGTGCGCGGTGTTTCTTCTTTTTTTTTTCTTATCGAACGGTTCTCGTCGCGAAGTATCTCACGGCATCGAGGAATCGTAGGCAAAGTTGCAACGATACACGGTCGTTCCGCGCGGCGAGCTCGAAAATCGTTCGCCGCGCGGAACAACCGCGGTCTACGATTTCATAGTCCTCGACTCATGGTACAAAATTTTTCTATGCTTAAAAACGTTCTTCGACGGCTCGATCGAGACACAATAAACTTCGCTGAACGAATCACAAGCGTGAATTCTGACAACCATAATTCGCCTGGTCGGACGATATATATATATATATATATGTATGTATATATATAGTCGACGCTTGTCTCTACGCTTGGACACACATCTGTACAGGTTCGATCGTCGTCCATCGAAGAATAATTGTAAAACTATAGTTAGTTTTTCGTCGTTCGATCGAACGACAACGAGCGCCCTCGTATAGTTCGAAACTATACAGTACCTTTAAGGGACGACTAAAAGTAAAGATAAAAAATACAGCTACGCAAGAAAAAGAACTGTACTCGTGTTCGACCAACGACAGGCACACGACGGCACGCGAGAGGCGTGCGCCATGTTCGAAGAACACGCGCGGAACAGACGCGCGCGGCTAGTATCTTTTTCTTAGAGTCTACTCACGTGTAACTACTATATACATAATAATTGTAAAATATCTCGAAATTATGGTTGAACGTGAATTCGGCGCAGGAAGCGGAGAATAATCGTCGAGGGGTTAGGGAGGATCGGAGGAGGGAAGAAACGGAAACCGCGCGGCGTATAGCGTTTTTCCGGTATTTTGTTTGCTGGGCGCGCGCGCGTGATTTCGGAACATTTTTTTGAAACGTACGATGCTCCAGGGCCACGCAGTCGGCCGTATTGGGATGGAAAAAACTATAACGAATTGGTGCTCTCGGAATGTATTAGACTGAATTATTATTGTTGTACGTTTTAGGCGAAAAACGAAAAAAAAGAAAACGAGAAAAGAAAAACCAAAAAAAAGAGGGAGAGAGAGAGAGAAGGGAAACGGTCAAAAGAATACGAGAACTGCAGAAACGCGCGTTATAAAAAACGAGGCGAGATCGAGGGAGGATCCACGCCTCCTCGTTCGATCGACGATTGGCGAACGTATTATTTCTATTTGGAGCGTTTTATATATATACAATATATGTATTGTATATCCGCTAGGTTGCACACTTCCACACTCACACGTATACACGTACACGGTATTTCGCGTACAGTGATGGGAATCGGGTTGGGATCGTGTTTCCATGCTCGCGTTGTTTCCGCGAGTTCGACGGAACTCCGCGCGTCCCTGTGGCGCGAACGCGTTCTGTTGCCCGCTCAAGGTCATCCCCGCTCTCCGGATCGAGAACCGACCTAACCTAAACCGTGGTCGCACAGGGGAAACGAGAGATTATGCTTCGTCTTATATATTCGCAAGGCAACTTTGTTTTCCTCGGGAAAGAGCTAGGCTAGAAAGCATAAGCGAATTTTTGATAATAGAGGGTGTCCCAAAATTCATGCGAGAAGT